GTACTACTTTTTGACGCGGTAGCAGGCATATATTTCGGTTCTGTTGTTTCCAGGGTGCTGTTACAGTGTACTGGAAGGGGTAGTGCTGTCAAGTTGTCGCCGAGTGTGAGCACTCTTTACCTCGCCGATGCCACTAGTTCTCCACTCGACCCGTTCGCCAAGCCTAAGTCGATCTGTTCTGTCACCATGAGTAGCGTACGGCAGCAGGCCTTCACGGCGCAGCAAAAGCTTAAGATCATCACCGTCGCCGAGAAATTCGGAAATCGCAAAGCGGGAAGACGGCACGATGTGGACGAGTCCTGCGTGTGACTGTGGAGAAAAAAAAAGAGAGCCTACAAGCCGCGCACCGCGACCGTAGGTCATTTCGTGGCCCCAAGACTGGTGCCTACCCTGAGCTGGAGGCGGAGCTAGTAAAGTTCACCGAAACATGAGAAGCAGGGGTCCGGCCGTATCGACCGAGATGGCCCAAGTGGAAGCGCGGCAGCTTTCAAGAGAGCTAGGCCTACCTCACGAGTTTCGTGCGAGCCGCGGATGGCTGCGCCGCTTTATGAAGCGGCAAGGGCTCTCAATCAGACGGTGGACTACAATATGTCAACGCTTGCAGGCTTCTTATGAGGAGAAGCTGCTCAAGTACCAGAGATATGTAATTGGCCTGCGAAAGCAGCACAATTACATTTTCCCGCAAATCGGCAATGCTGATGAAACTCCTGTTTATTTTGAAATGCCGTTGGACACAACGATTGAGAAGACGGGCAGCAGTTCGATGAGTGTGCTGACCGGCGGGAACACGAAACTGCGCATTACAGTCTTGCTTTGTGCCTTCGCCGACGTCATCTTGAAAAGGAAAACTCTACCAAAGGTTCATTTGCCTGCCGGTGTGGTGGTGCGCGCACACGAGAATGCGTGGATGAACAGTGTCTTGTTCGTAGACTGGATCAAGACGGTATGGGAAAAGAGGCACGATACGATGCTCGCAAAGAGGTCCATGCTCGTTCTTGACTCGTTCCGTGGGGCCACACAACTGAGGAAGTGAAGGACCGCCTTTCACGCAACAGCACCGACTTAGATGTTATACCCGGTGGAATGACGTCAATGTTGCAGCCTCTAGATGTGTCGCTTAACAAGCCCTTCAAAGAGCATGTCAAGCGCTATTACGCCGAGTGGATGGGCGAAGGCTGCTACGACTTGACGCCGACAGGACGAGTCCGAAGGCCTGATATTGCCCTATTCTGCAAGTGGATTGCCGAGGCATGGAAGGCCATTCCAGGTGAGATGGTGCGAAAAAGATTCAAGAAATGCTGCATCACAAACAACATGGATGGAACCGAAGATGACCTTGTGCATAATAGTGAGGACTAAGGCTTAAGTGATATAGTCAGAATTTGTGAAAATTGTAACTTCATAATATATGCTGATGACTGCACTATATTTTTTACTGGAAAAGATTTCAGTACTCTCGGGGCTTTAGCAGCCAGCACATGTTATAAGCTTCATGAATGGTCTACCAAGAACAATTTAATGTTAAATGAATAAAAAACAAAATGTGTCCTTTTCCGAGCTCTCGGCATATCCCTGCATGTACCAAATTATGTTACCCTAGGCCCCTACAAAATTGCAGTGACCAAATTCATTAAGACGCTTGGAGTAGTTTTTAATGAACATATGTCCTGGGATGAGCATACAGATCACATTAGTTTAAAGTTGAGACCCGTGGTTGGCACTCTAAATCGTTGTCGACGTCTTTTGCCCGTTACTGTAAAGCGGACTCTTATATCAGGCTCTTTTCCATGCCCACTTGAACTACTGCGCTTTGGTATGGGCAAACACTACGTGAACAAATTTAAATAGGCTAAAGATACTTCAAAAAAGAAAGGGCGATTAGGGCAATAGAAAACATATCATCCCTTGAACACACAGGACAACTCTTTGTTAAACATAAAATTGTTAAGACAAATGACATATACAAATTCAGGTTGTTACAATCTATATTAGCGCGAACAGAGGGAAACTTGACGCATTCCTGATACTTGCAAATCTTGAACATATACAAACCATTTACTTCCATCGATATAAGCCCCCGCGGAAAATTCCGTTATCTTGCACCAATTACGGCACCCAAAGACTTAGCCACATGCTACCTACTATGTTGAACTAATACGAGCAGGAAGACATAAAAATTGACACATTAAACAATATCGATGTGCAAACACTATTCTTGTAGATTTGTACTGTTTACATAGGTCACTCTGTATTGCTTTGCATCATTTATTGTGTACCTTTATATATTTTTTTCCATTATTATTTCTTTTGTGTAACCTCATTGTGTACCTTTCTTATGTACGAAAGCGATGATACATACTTTGCAAATTACTGTGCTCATGTGTTTATGAAATATTCTTTTTGCTTGTATATCTTGGCCTGTCATTTACTTTGTCTTCTGCTTGAATTGTTTCCTGCTCTATAATATTTGTTTTTCTTTTTTCGTTTTTATTGTATTTCGTTTTCACCCTGTCATTGCTGACGTAGGGTGGACAGTGCTTAGTCAAGCTGCAATAACTGCAGCTTTTTTGCCGTCTCCCAATTTTTCGCTGTTGTATTTGTTTTGGTGAAAATAAAAAACTTTGGAAAAAAAAAAAGTGATAGCTCTAGCGAGAGCAGCGACAGTGAGTGAATTGCGACTGGCCTTGCAGACAGCGTATTCTATTTGCTAAATAATGCTTTTCTGTCTACATATGTGCATGTTGCTTGAGCAGTAGCTTTTGTACAGCCTTTCCTGTATATCAAATGTGCGGGCAATACGCGAGGATTTTTTTTTTCCTTTCTCGATGAGCTGAAAGTGGGGGTGCGGATTATATGCAGGGGCGGGTTATATGCGCAAAAATACGGTACCATAGCAAATGAACTGCGTGCCAGCCGTATTATTTAGCGCCCTTGAACGAGCATGCTGCGAGGTATGTCTTGCATACCGTAATTAAATGGCAATTTCATGCTTCAGTAAAAAGGCCAGTGTACTATTTTTTTTTTCACAGCTTCATTCATAAGCTGTGTGAAATTTCCCGGCACATATTAGAGGATGAATCAGTTTTCGAGACTGACCGCATTTTCGCCTGTAGGTCAAAACAAGATTGAATAGGAGTAAGAGTGGATGTAGGCCCATTCTACTGACGTATAAGCAAGGCACCATGTTAACTGAAGTCGCCGATGGCAGGGGCGTAGGCAGAAACTTTTTACGGAGGGAGCCACACTACGGGGGGGGGGGCAGGGTAGGTAGATGTGGTCGATTGTTACCTTGGCAAGAGAAGTAGCTTTAGCTGACTGTGTGATGTAAGAAAGATTTTGTAGAATGCGCTGGCAGAACAAGCAGAAGCAACTGGCCACAAAATAGACCGGAAAACGTTAAATCAACAAAAATTGAGGGAAATAATGGGACTTCTGGGCTTTATTTTGACTCTGGCAATTGAGATGACGGCGCACATTCTTAAATGTGATGACGGCAACTTCCTCCACATGTACGTCGTATTATAATATATACATAAATAGGACTGTTTGCACTTTAATTTTTCCTTGTGGACGAGGCCCTGTGTAGTAACTGAAACTTTCTGCTTTTATGTGAAGAGTCCTGGTCGATGCTGATTTTAGCCCTATGGGCTTGAAGTAAAAAAGAAATGACAGTGGCACTGCCAGCGGCCATTACAGTGGCATTGCGTACGTAGCGGGATGTAATGCGCCACCGATAACCTCCACTGCAACTTTCTGAATTGTGTAGTCTGTTGGAGTCCGCACAGATGAAGCGAGACCAAAACAACGCAGTTCAAAAGCGAAAACACCGTAAAGTTGCAGTTAAAAACAACGCATCCAACCGCCAGCTTACCATTGTGAGAGCAGGGCGAGATCACGTGATCCAACTTTGCACGTCACCACGATTGCAGCGCTCAGTCCTCCAGTGGTGAGCCTCGCGCCCAATATATCTCAATTACTTTTGTCATGTCTGTCAGCAATGGATGAGCAAGGAGCGAAAATTCTAGATTTTCGCTTTATAGTTGACTCTTGGCAAGTGACCTCTGAATTCTGTTTGAATCATCTAGAAGTTTGAATGGTCAGAAGTTCTCGGATATATGAATCTCGGCAAGCTGACAACACACTTTATCATTAGGTATTCTTTTTATGACATTAAAAATTTATGCATTTTTAATCCCTAACTGCATGCAATATACAGAAAGCAGAGGTGTAAAATTCATTAGTTTATTCTCTATCTACTGCTGATCAGACCTTCTAAAGAAATTGCGAATTGCCAACTTCTTTTTTGCTATATGTGCCTTCAGCACAAAGCTCTTCGTACCACTTGAGAATCAATTCAGTTTACTATGAGTGTGCTTCGTTTAAAACATTTGTTTACTGGTAAAGCCTTTTTTCTTGAAGGCCTGAGGTGCTTAGTATTCATTTTTAGACTGTTAGGATTATATAAGCACGCAAATTTTTAAATAGTAGTGGGAAAGCAGCAGATGCTTTCTAGTATGAAACCGCAAGAAGTATGGTTTCACCAAATGACAGAGCTTCAATAGGATTTTAAGTACATTGAAAGAATATAGGCCAACAAAAAAAATTGAATTTTGTTTGAAATAATCAAAAGTATGAATTATAGGAGTTTGAATTATCGCGAGTGTACTTTACTTTTTCGTTCAAGTTTCTTAATCACTGTAAGCTGTGATCATGAACCGCCAACTTGCCTGTAAACTTACCGTCTACAGCAGCAGCTTTCAAAGTCGTTAAGTGTTAAGTTTTGTTTACTTTTGCTGTTATCATTGTTGATGTTGTATGTTACATTTCAACTGCATATGTCAGCCTAGGGAAATAAGCTTTTGAAAGTTCGAGAAAATTTTCTCTATGCGGTAGGAGGCTCTGGAAAGAAGCATAGTGCAAGCTTATGGACACATTGTGCTGCCATTTTCGAATGAACTCTTCTGTGCTGGCGGGTGACTCACTCTAAGTTTGGTACGCAGGTACGTGTTCAAGCGTCTGCGCTTCCTTGGCAACAAGCAGCTGTCTCAACTGAGTGCCTTGTTTTTCCTGGCACTGTGGCACGGTCTGCATTCGGGCTACTATGTCTGCTTCTTCAATGAGTTCATTGTGATGAAGTTTGAGCGGGATGCCCTGGAGGTGATTGAGCGGCTGCCGCGCCTCAAGCAGCTCATCTACCATCCCTACCTGCGGCTGCCTCGCTTCCTTCTTCTCAAGGTCTACGTGCTTGTCATGTTTGGATACTGCATCGTGCCCTTTGTGCTGCTGTCGCACCAGCGGTACATTGAGGTACGTCTGTACTTCCCGCGCACTGCAAAAGCACTGCCAAACTTGTATGTAGTTAGTGTAGAATTCACAAAGAAACACGACAGACAAGAACGGATGCTACTACCAACTGTTTCTTAAAGTAAACATTTGGCAGCAGTACTCATCACTGTCTGTCATGTTTCTTGTGTCTGTGTTAATTTTTTCATGCTTAGTCTAGAAATAATGGTCTTAAAACAACTAGCCCGCCAGACTGTTCTTCCAAAGTGTGTGCGGCACATCTGAGCAATCAGAAGCAATTAACATGCCAATGCTCTTTCTAGTGTGATTGGATATTGTTCACACCTACCAGGACAGATGCTGTGACACGTACACCACTGGATGTTGCACACACTCTTGGGTGTATACATGGGGGTGGTCTGGGTTAAAGGGGCCCTTGCTACACTTTGTCAGCATAGGTCAGTAAAAGCCGCCACTTAGTAGTTGAGGCTCATGAGAATACATGAGTCCAACATTATACTAGAGCACGTGGCTTAGAGTTAATTCTGAATGTTCGAAATCTCTCCCTGTTCTTACAACAAATGATGCCGTACACTCAAATGATCAGGCCATATACCTACTAGTATAGCAGCCACTGACTCGCTAGTTTGAGCATCGTCAGATGCATAGTTGCTGACACTGCTGCAGAGAGCTCCCACGCATGTGCTCTTGATCATACTGTCAGACACACGTTTTAAGCAAAACAGAGAAAGTGCTGAAAATCACAATGCACACGTGAAATGTCTTCTTTTCCCTGAAGCTTAGTTTCCATTGCACCTGTTGGGGTGAGAGAAAGCAATTACAGCATGTGACAAATCTGTGCAACTCTACTCGTACTTGTAAAATTCAAAAATGTTTTGCAGCGGTAGACACATGAAGTCTCTTAATAAGGCCATTAGTTGGTTACTTGAAGAAGCGTTGCAGGGCTATTTAAAACAAGTGGTCAGTGTAGTTTTTGTGCTTTAATTCAGACTTTTAACTGTAAGCCAAACCATGCTAGAGGTCAAAAGAGTAGCGGGAGTATGAAGTACAGAGGGGTGTGCAACAAAAAACAGTTGCTGAGAGTGACAATTAGAGGGCTGGGGAAGCAGGGTCAGCTCTTAACAATAAAAACCTATGGGAACCTCGCCGATGGCTTATCCGGGGTCAAAAGAGGTTTCCTGGGAAGTCACTGGAGCGCAGACTCCAGTTTGCTGTTGGTGTAAGCGATTAGCAGCGCTCAGAGACGTTCGCTGTAAGTCTCATTTTGTGCAATTAAAATGTATATTTCCACAGTCAATTAAAATGTATATTTCCACGGTCATGCGGTTATCTACGTGTTAAGCGAAGGTTCATTTTAAGTGAGGCCGCTGTGTGTAAGCTTGACTGTATAATGATTGGAAGTACAACATATGCTTACTCAAAAGTTCTCATTGTCTCTTAAAACCATAAACTTGAGATGTCTTGGGATTTCCCCTTGTAAATGTTGGGTAGCCAGTCGAGAGCGGGCACCCCGGACGCCAGGATTACTGAATGTTTTACCAATAGTGATTCTTATAGATGGCAGCAGCGATTGCTGTCTCTGTTAAGATTGCTTTTTATTCTCCTTTCGAAACATATGTGTCTGAATGGGAGGCATATTTATGTCTTCTTATTGACACTGTACAACAGCATGTGTGTTGAAGGAATGTGGCCGCTCAATAGGTAGCCAAGCAGCATTATTTTCCGTGTAAATAGTTGGTCCGTTTCTATGAGAGGCACACTCCACAAGATTTCTTACTATCTAGTGCACCTTTAACACTCGCTGTTCATCAACATCACTACTGCTAGGTTGTTGCACTTACATAAGCACAAGTTCTGGCTGAGAAGGTTTAAACAGGGGCAGCCTATTAATATTGTCACATTATAAAAACATAGAGAGATATTAGTTAAATAAAGACATGACTTGAATTCTGGGCTTTCACAGACAAGCGTTAGCAAAGAAGGTATTGAGCTTTTGGTTATTGCATATTTATTAAACAGCGCAATGTTGCAAGGTTACGTAAACATTGGTTCTGTGCTTTTTCATTTAGTGCTGTTTTCTTCATATATAGCCTCTTGACATTACACGAAGGATGCGCGAGAGCCGATTTCTATCTGACGTATTTACAGAAAGAAACAGCCTCTAGTCCTTTTTATTGTAATTTCCAGCAGCTACAATTTGGACAGTGTTTTACTTTGGTGTGTAGCATTCTGCAGAAAAGCCGTTGGGCTTTATTGCTTTTTCAGTTTATTCGTGCTTCCTCATCACTTGCTGCCACTTATTACGAGCGATCTTTTGCGCGGTAATCGGCAGAATGTTTTGTGAGGATTTTGTGATCTGTGGCCTGAGTCAATGTCAACAGAGGTGTTTTTGCATAATCTTTGCACGAGTTTTCTTAAATTAGGTTATGGAAAATAATAAGCTGTGAATTAAATAAAAAAAAAAAACAGAGCACAAGAAAGGGCCATAATGGAAGGATTCTTTATGAACACCAAGTCACTCTCCGCTTTTGACAGATAAATGTGCACGTTAGTATACGGGCGTTTCCCACTCCTAAGAAGCTATGCTTGCTCTCAAGAAGTATTGTTACCAAGATGGGAAAGGCTAAGTCTGACATGAAATGCAACAACAGATATATGTAAAATGTGTGTAGGAGGTTGTCTACAGTATTTTCGTGAGTGGGGGTTCCTGCTGCATAGTGAGAGTTAATGTATGAATCCCTGTGAGAGCATGCGAGCAATGTTTTGAACAGAAGCACAAGCTTTTTTTTTTAACCCTGCATTGTATTGCTTTCTGCCATGTAGCTATGTTTGAGTTCACAGAAATCGCAATCTCATGCAGGGCATGTTACAGAGGCTCATTAGCATAAGTCAGTTACGTCATTGTAAATGAATCTAGCATTTCTGAACAGTCAGCATGAACAGTAGGTGATGTTCCATACCATACATTTTGCATCTGACTTCATGGCATTTTCAGAGCTATACAGTCGAGCCCACTTATAACGAACCTGAGCGTGACGTGGCATCCGTTCGCTGTATCCCGAAGTTCGTAGTAAATGAAACACAGCTTTTAAAAAAAAGTTGCGCGTGAAAACACAAACTTTTTTTGCCCCCAAAAGTCTGTGATGAACGTGTTTCAAAGAGCAGAAGCGATAAGCGCGGTCTCGAGTTAATTTAAAACGGCAGGGTGCTCGTTCGTCGAGGCCCATGGCATAAGCTGCATGAGGCACCGGTTCCAAAGTTTCGCTGTTCTCGCAATCCGATTCGTCTAAATCGCTCTTGCCATGTACTTCATTCACAATGCCCAAATCCGTGCACGGTTCCGCAGTGTCGGCATCACCATCGGCCGTCATTAAACCATCGCAACAGATGTCCCACCCGCTCTCCCAGGTCGGAGTGGACGCGCTGCCACAAATTGCCGCCGCAGTTCAGAAGGTTCAGGCTCGGCGTCGGGCCCGACGTCGACGAAGTCGGCCTCGCGAAAACATTTTCGCACGCATGTAGTCGTCACCGCGGCCCACGAAATATTCACCATCTCCAAAGCTGAATACCGGGACACCCGAAGCGGCAAGTTGGCTGCCAGGTGGTCAACAGCTATGAGCAAGCGCTCTGCAACGCGGCACCTAACGCGCGGATTACGCTCAAGCCAAGCGGTCACAGTTTCGACGTTTTGTTGAGCAGCACGAAAAAAGCGTGCTAGTCCTCCCGTCGGCCATCATGACCACACACACACACCAAGAGCGAGCAAGACGCGCACACGCCACACACATGTTAGAGCGCATGGAACAGCTCTAGGCCCATTTTCAGTCAGAAAACGAAACTAATTCAAGCCAGCGTGGCGGGCATTGCGGAGCGGACGGAGGCGGGCGAAGGGGTTGTGAACAAGAGAGGGAGCAGACTTGCGAAAGAAGGTCAAGGAGTTGCGATAAAGAGAGGGGAGGATGCGGCGGGAGGGCGACCTTGAAAACCAAAACACACGGAAGGAGGCAGGTTGGGTAGCTTGCTTGAAAGGTCCGCGAAACTTGCACGAAGAAAAACTTGAAAAGAGTGCATGGCCACCTCAATCGGTGCGCACAGGCGGTGTTCGAAGAATCGGCGGCCGTTGTCAAAAAATCGTTTCGTTGTGTGGCCTCACGAACTTTGATATTTCGGGATTCGTTCCGCACAAATTAACAGTCGTTTTCGCGCTTCCGCATGCGCGCCGTAAGCATGCTCAGCCGAGAGCGCAGTGAGCCAAAACAAGTCCTAAACACGAAACTAATCGCAAATTATCAGAGTTGGTGGGGTAGCGTACGCGCGTGCACTAGACGCAGACCATCGGATACAGTCGGTGGCCGACGATGTTGGCAAATGGTCCGGTTACTCCAGGTCGGCGACGCCAACGACAGTACCAGCAATCAAAAACAGGGTTGATGGCCGACCGGTCTTCGAAAGATCGGTGGCAGTGTGAAAACACGGGCCTCGTCTGGCGATGCGGGGTACTCAAGGTAGTGGGGGGGGGGACAAAGGACGGAGGGGTGCGTAACAAAAAGCGGTCATGGAGAGGGGCAACTAGAGGGGTGCGGAGGCAAGGTCAGCGTTTAACAATAAGAATGTATGGGCACCTCGCCGATGCCTGATCGGTGGTCGCAATTGGTTTCCGGGGAAGTCGGCAGACCGCTGACTCCGTTCGCTGTAACCGATCAGCAGCGCTCAGAGACGTTCGTTATAAGTGCAATTTTAGTGCCATTGAACCAATGTATATTTTGACGGTCACGTGGATATTCTTTGTTTTAAGCGAAAGTTTGTTTTAAGTGGGGCTGTTATATGTGGGTTCGACTGTATTTCCACAAATTCCTTCATCATATGTGACTTTGCTGTTAGAACTTGCCATCCCAGTCTTGCCTCAAACTGCACCACATAGCATTATAGCAAAATTAACTGACCAGCTTAGAACTTCTACGCCCCTTTGAACAAGAAGACTACAGTAGTAGGTTAAATGGAGTGGATTGCCAAGGGAGCCCTTGACCACACCTCAGATGCAATGCATGCTGGTGGAGGAACGCATCAGACATTTAAGGGCAAAGCTCCTTGTGGTCGAGGCATGTTTGTCGGCACTGTATGCTGTAGCCATGGCTGACAATGATGACGATAAACAGCAAGTGTCTTCCAGACCGCACATTTTCTTTTTTGCATCACGGCACAGCACCTGCAAGGTACCAACTATGCACACTCGACGATGATGACAATGATGATCACAGATAACGACTGGCCTGTGCAGTAGATGACATCTCGATATGTGCTACAATGAATTTATTATGATTAAAAACAACCAACAATCACCAGGGGAACGTGCCCAGACCTCGTCTTTGCCAACTTCAGGCTGTATCCTATACCAGTACAAAGCCATAATAATGAAGGCAAAAGGAAACTCACAACTCAACACAACATACTAGTTATGACAAATAAACATTTTTTATAACAGTACACCGCTTGGCAGTCATTTATGTGCATGAGTGGTTAATGTCACGGGTGATTTACGGTAACACCTGACGATCCCACTGCTTCGTCCACTCATCATCACTCCCTTCGTGGATATGTCGTGATTCTGTAGCACTGCTTTCTTTTTCTGTATGTTTGCTGCTGTCAATGACCATGTCTTGCAGTTTGTCAAGTGTACGATTTCTAGCCATCATGAAGTGTCTTGTGTGTGCAGGCATACACCCGTGTGTATTGGATTGGACACATTATCTACTTGAGCTGGATACCCCTGTCGATGGTTGTAATGAAGGCTCTACCCAAGCCATCTCAAGCACCTGCCAAGAAAGAAAACTAACGGACTCGCTCGGTGGCCAGGCTTTTTCAGGAAGGCAAAATGGGAGCCTGTGGATTCGTATTGGAGCCACTAATTCCAAATATGATGTGTTTGATCATACAATTGCTGTGGGCAATTGGCAAGTCTTGACACAGCTCGTACCTGAACTGTGTGCCAGTGCTGTGGATTAGTGGGCTGCGAGCTGTTTTGTCCAGTTGTTGGGTTCAGATGGGACTGAAACAAATAACACATTAATGCCAAGCATTAAGTAGCCAGGTGCCTCGTTATGGCTGCAGTGTGAACGAATCGACGTTGCTATGCATTCATTCCCATCTGTGCTTAATGGCACGTTGAGGTGTGGTTGTGCATAGCATTGCTTTTTCCTATAGAGTGCCTTGGTTTGTGTCCTTCCACTTTCAAGGATGGTCACGTGGACCAAATTGCTCGTCTCATTTCAGGCCTTTGGATTGAGCTCCAAGTTAATTGTTCTCTGTTATGGCTAAGGTTTCTTTTGCAGTTGCTACTTTTTTGTTCTCTGGTTCGGTGAAAATATGTACATACATGTCAGCTACTTAAATCTTTTCTATCAGCTTTGTGTGGATGCGCTATTTTAGGAAGTGTTTCAACTTTCGCTCAGCTCTAAGCATCCAGAGTCAAGCTGAACTATTGCTCTTGCAGTGCACCTCTTCTTCTTAAAAGTACTGTAAATAGTAGAATAATAAAAAAAGGATTTCACTGTTTGTTGTAATCTCCAGTCTTTTGGCTCGGAATGTCGGTCTCTTGTTGGGAAGTCCAGTAGCAAATGGTTCCTTTTTATGTTTCGTATAGAAGCCTTGTGTACTGATGGGTGCAGCTATAGTTCATCCTCATCTTTTGAGGGGTTGAATGCACTGTGATAGCAGCAGCTTTTTGTTGCCTTGACTAGGTGAATTTTGCCTTCTCAATCTATACTGTTGTTGCAATAGTAATCACAAAAAAAGCACACCATCTCATAGTGGCCTGTGCACAGTAATTGAGCTCTAAAACAGTGTTTTCCACAAGCCGCCGTGGAAGAGAAACTTCCAAAGCACACGCACATTGTTTACTGGATTTAAGCCACCCAAGTGTCGTGAAGACCTTTGCATCGAGACTGGCCATTGCCTGCCATGGGGAGACCAACTCTGTGCTGACATGTGCCAGTAGCATTGCTGTACTTGATGGCACTTTTTCGCACCTAACATGCAAAGCTTGCTCTTGGCTGCCATCACACCTGGTAGCTTGGCAGTGATGTGTGATCTTTTAGCTGATTTTTCTCTACGAAAAAGGAATGCTGATGATCGCTAAACTTTTCAGTTACACCAAAGTGAGCTAAAACGCCACCTGCAACTTGCATCTGAATACTTTTAAGTCTTACCCTATAGCAGCTTTTTTCCCCTCTCCTTTAGAGTCTGTGCATTGAGATAGGCCTCTTTAGCTGGTGCTGGTTTAGATATTTAAGCTGAAAAAAAAATATGTAGTCAGTTTCAATCTGAAGCAGTCATATCCATATGAAAACTTTCGTAATGTGAAGCATTGCCCTGCTTTTTTCAGGGCTCATTTTGTGCAGTCTAGCCTGACATTTGCCAGGACAAAGTAATAGCCTGTTGTGAATTTGTGCATAGTACACAGAGGGATGGCAGGCCACAATCATACACTGGCAAACCTTTGAGGTCTCTGCAGATGACGTGTGCAAAGGCATTCAGTTTGAAAAATACACCAATTCAGCACTAGGCATGGCATGATTTCAAACTGTACTGAGACTGGCTGTGTTCTTTTTAGTAGAGACTGTGTCTTTTTCTTTTTCTATCACCACTTCTTCCTTTCATCATTCTCTGGTGTGTCTTAATCCTTTTGCTGTGGGCACAGGTAGCAGCATCGACGTATGTGCAATACTGGTAGCACTATGCGTGTACATACATGTGGTGTCCATATATGTGAACAGCAGCCCAGCTAGTGCACTGCTGGAATATGCTGAAGGCCTTTCTGACTGTTAGGTTCTATAGCAGTGATACTGATGTAGTTGATTTCCCAGAGTTATATTCCTTCTCACATGCAGTATTACAATGCATACATGAAGGTGCCTTAATAAAGTTTTCTTTTGACTTGTGTATGGCTGCGTGATGCTTCATTGCATATCGAAAAACAGGCTGTTGGTAGTGTTGTGATAACTTCGTAAAAATTCATCTTGGAAAAGTTTTTTTTTTTTATTGTGCCAGAAAACAGGATGTAAGTTATCAGCTTGTTGGCCGTTAATAAAAACACTGCCGTTACAGTCTAGAGTATAGATATTGCACCTCAGCAAGCACAACTGATGGATTCGAGTGCATAGTTTTCACTATCACACATGCCTCAAACAGCTTCCGTGCACAGCAAAATCTCGTTGATGCAATCCCACTTATTGTTTCTTTTTTGTTGCATAAGTTTTTTCTTCTTAACGGCCTGATGCCAAGTAGACTTGATACTATGTGTAATGGCTACTGCTATTGTATTTTCGTGCAGACTTGGACAATACAATCGCAAAATTGTATGAAAACATTGCACAGTTTCACTTTTCACATCGAGAGGCACTGTGCCCACGAGAAGCTGGCTTATCGAGACACCCAAGTGCTTGCTGTAACAGTGGCCATCGAGATCAGTATTCGCTGTTTCGGATAGTATTAAATAGTTTCACCCTTTGAAATGTGCCGGCCTCAGCATGCACTGGCGTCTCTGGCAGAGTAACTCGCATTAAAATCGCATGACCAAACAGTTGCAATGGACGCATCCATTGGCGATGCACTGCGGGCTTCCTGGATGTTTCACGCGCTTCGTTTGCCTGTTCATGCTTCTTGGTATTCTGTTTTGGTGATGCTGTGATGTGCTTCAATATTTTATAGTATCTTGGGTTTCACGTCTCAAAACCACAATATGATTATTAAAAACGCCGTATCAGAGGGCTCCGGAAATTTCGACTATTTGGTGTCCTTCTCTTTCGCTACCGCACCTCTATGTAAGGAAGTGGGAAACACACTATGATATGCGTGATGTTTTGGTTGTTTTTTGCTTTAGGTATGTTTTTATCTCTCCTCAAGAAGTTTCAAGTAGCTGGGTGCGCATGCCAATCATGGCGCCGTTTTTCCGTATGGATGGTCCTAAAAGACGACGCGTTTCTCGGGAATTGAGCAAATCAACAGCAGATTTTGAGGATGGAATCAGCAGCACTGAGCCTGAAGAAGATGTTGACACGTCAAATTTCAGCCCTGATGACAAGGATACGTCAAGCCACAAAATTCAGTGAGTGAGTGCCGGCTGTATGTGTGGCGCACATTTTGTTTTTTTAATTAGTAGTCACAAGTGGCGAAGCGCATAGTCACAGCAGTTTCACTCATTTGAAGGTCTCGAGGTTCTACGGACATTATTCCTGGTCGGCATCTGTCAAGCGTGTGAAGTGTCTTTCGAGACAAAACCCGAAGGTCAGAGTCTGAGGCGCACTCCAGAGTAACCCACGGCGCTTCTTCTGGGCCGTTGATTTCATCCAGCTATTTTTCACTGCACAGCTGGCCAGCATGATCTGCGACTACACCAACAAATATGCGTGGGTACATGTTTTAGAGAGGCAGACATATGTGGAAAGGGGCAGTTCATGGAGGAACTTCACTCCCGATGAAGTGCACTGGAATCCTCATTTACATGGAAATCGTGGAGTTACCTTGCCTCCATCTCTGCTGAAATACCTCAAGGTCATTTTCAGGCCCGATTTTTTTAATATTATGTGCAGGAGGTGTTTTTGTTTGTTCCTTGCCTTTCTAAAAGTCACGGACACGGAGCTGACCAACCACGTCTGCTATGGCACGCTGCATAGGATAACCCATCTACGGCCAGCTCCCCCACCAACTTTCTTTTTACAGCGAAAGCTGTTATGCGATCACAACTTGGGTCGCGCGCAAGTCTGCCACCGCCACCGGTGTCTGTAACAAAAACGCATGAAATTAGAAAAAAAAAAAAAAAAACCCCTAGGATCAATGACACCGTCGGGCTCGAGCCGAGTCCGCAAGGTGCGAGCCCGGTATTGTACCCTTGAGTTACGCCGGTGCTTGTGACTTGTTGGCAAACTTGCCTTAGACAGGCTTGATGTCAAAAAAGCAATCGCGTTAATATGACTTATAAAGCGTTTTAAAACAGGGAAAGAACAACGAGTCGTCGCACAATGCGAAAAGCGTAAGGAGTGGGCCGTCCAATGCTCCAATATATTACAAAAGCTTGTTCTTTTTCTCCCATTAACTGTGGCACATACCCACTTCAGCCATAATTCCTCATCGTCCTTAGCCACTGCATCAACAATCGGCACATAATTTCTTGCAAATTTTTAGCGGATACCGCACTTTTCAGAGGAATGACGAAAAAAAGCACAGTGAATGCTAGTGGGTATCAAGCAAGTGTGCTGGCAGTAGTTACCTAGTGAGTGTTTTGAAAAGGCTCTGAGAGACCGCTCTTCTAGCTTTCGCTGTGACTGTGCTGCGCCTTGCGTGCAGGGCTGGCGTTCTTTTGTGGAAAGAACAGTTTTTGGCAATAATTCTTGAAACTTGTACAACCTTTATGCATCATAATGAGCTATAAATTGTATATCTTGAAATATTTTTAACCTCATTATTTTTAAGTTGTTCTCCTTTTTAAAGTGTTGACAGTATAATCATGGCGGAAATTTTTCATTGTAAACATTTTTTACCTAATGTGTGTAATAAATATATATGCTACATTTATGTTATTGGACAGACCATCCTTTTAGCGGCAGTTCAGTACCAAATAATGTACATAAGGCATTAATATCTAGCCACAAAGAATGTTTTTCATTAGTAAAAACTGCCCCTTTTCCCGTGGCAGCAAAAAAGTTCAACGTGCAATGACATCGCAGAGCATGCGGGCCTCTACCATTTTGCCTCCATCAAAATGCGACTGCCATGGCTGGTATCGAACCCGCAACTTTCGGGTCAGCAGCCGAGCATCTTACCCACTGTTCCACTGAGGTGGACATGACGCATTTCGACATGTCGGCATAGCGGAAAGCTCCCTTAGAAGCCCACCTGTGATATTGGGTATAGACCCTTTCAATGTTTACAAACACAAGGCCTTGAAGACATCTGGTTTCGTGCACCGATGTGCCTTAATAGCATCGAAGGACAACAAGAGGTTTAGAAAATAGCCCGCCAATTTTCTACAGTTTCATTTCCTTAGTTGGCAAAATATACTCAAATAAGTGTTCTTTTGAGCTACCTAAAAATTATAAAACATTCCTGTGTGCTTTACGCACGTTCCTTTTATGTGAAATACGAAAGAGAGACTTTCCTTACCCTTGAAAAGAACTTGAAAATTTGTTTTCAGTTTCGACGTCAGGAGCTAGTAAATGAGGTGACCAAAAGTTTTTGGTGTACAACGCTTGTAACCTTGAAACCGTCTATTGGCCTAGGATGGATGGATGGATGGATGTGGCTGTACCCTTTAGATCGGGCGGCGGCTAACGCCACCTAGCTGTAATACTTAATGAACCAACCATTAAATTTATCTTTTTTTCCCTTTAAATAGTGAGGTTCAAGATTTGTACTTTGCAGTGAAAGGTTTAATTTTCACTCGTGCCTTGACTTTAGCCACTAGTCAGATAACCTCCTTCTAGTTAAGTCTACCCGCTTAAAGTCTATTTTGCCCTCCCTGTCCCTAAACCCCAGTGCTTTGAAAAACTCCGCGCCATCATCCTGAACTCTAGGGTGAAGCACTTTACAGAACATTATCAAGTGTTCGGCAGTTTCTTCTTCCTCTCCACACGCACTGCATACTGTGTCTACCCCTTCGTCTTTGGTCCGAAATGTCTTGGTTCGCAATACTCCCGTCCTGGCCTCAAACAGTAGAGAACTACCCCGAGTATTATCATAGATCCTTTCCTTGGCAATTTCCTGCTTAAAAGTTCAATAGATCTCTAGTGTGGACTTCTTAATCATGCCAATTCTCCACATGTCAGACTCCATTTCCTTCACTTTCTTCTTAACCGATAGTTCTTTTTGGTTTGGCCACCTGCTGTTTTCAAAGTATTTACCAGTCGATTTCCTGGTTCGTTTCCTCCATTTTGTATCGACGTTCCTCATGTACAAGTAGCTGAAAACCTTCCTAGCCCAACGCTCCTCCCCCATTTCTCTCAATCGCTTCTCAAATTTTATCTTGCTGCTAGCTGCCCTGCCCTCAAATGATGTCCATCCCATATTACCTTCTACTCCCTGATTTGGTGTATTCCCGTGAGCTCCTAAAGCAAACCTTCCTTTTCCACGTTGCTTAATTTCTAATCTTGCTTGAACTTCTGATCTCATGCACAAGACCGCATTGCCGAACGTCAGCCCAAAAACCATGACCCCTTTCCATATTCCTCTCAGAACATCATACCTATTGTAATTCTACAGTGCCCTATTTTTCATCACTGCTGCACTCCTGTTACCTTAGTCGTCACGTATATTTCGTGTTCCCTTAGGTACTCGGTCCCATTGCTTATCGATACGCCGAGATACTTGTATTCATCTGTTATCTCTAGCGTGACCTCCTGTATTCTAAGCTGACTACCTTCATTATCATTAAAAATCATGACTGCTGATTTTTCCTTACTGAATCTAAAATCTAACCTATCTCCCTCATTACCGCAGATATCCATCAATCTCTGAAAATCTTCCTTGTTGTCGGCCATTAGCACTATATCATCTGCGTACATCAATGCTGGTAGTGCCTGTTCAATGATTTTTCCTTGTTTGACGAAAGAGAGGTTGAAGCCCAGTCCACTTCCCTCTAATTTGGCCTCTAATTCTTGTAGGTACATCATGAATAACAAGGGTGACAGAGGACACCCCTGCCTAAACCCCTGTTTTGCCTCTGCAGGCTTGGATACCTGTTTTTCCCACTTTATAACTACCTTGTTACCTTTGTAGATATCCTTTAAAAGATTTGTGAATCCATCTTCCACACCTAGTGTGTCCAGTATTCCCCACAAGTCCTCTTGAACCACGCTATCGTATGCTCCCTTGATATCCAAAAAATGCTAGCCACAGGGGCCTGTGTTCCTTTTCTGCTATTTCGATGCACTGCGCCAGTGAGAGCAGA